CATCAGTAAGCATGGGCGTTTCATTGTCCTCTAGCTTTCTCTTGTTTGATAGGATGTCTTTCATGAACTTGGCATAACTAGGTATCTAAGCTAAAGCATCCGCGAACGGTATGTTAATGTGCAGCTTCTTAAACACATCCAAAAAATTCTGGAATTGCTTATCGAGCATGTGGTTTTACAGTCTCTGTGGGAGTAGGATTGGAGGCACATATGCTTTAACAGGAGAGGTTGCCTTTACCCGTGGACTATCTAATAACTCAACTTGATTATCCTCTGTAACATTGTCTAACTTATCCACTTGCTCCTCGCCCATGGTAGGTACCTTTTCTATGACAGTTGTTGGCCGCTTTACATGTATTTCTAGTAATTGGACTCCACTACGTGTAGTGATAGCTTTGACCTATTTTTTAGGATTTGTTTCAATCTTGCTAAGTAATGTCCCTTAAGCTCTACCTGATAGTACGACTGCAATCTGTCCCATCTGTTGTTCCAAGTTTTTTTATCGAGACTTGTTGGGTCTGAAAGTTGGTCTCAATTTAAGTTATATATTGAGTTAGCAAATCTTCCATTGATGGCTTTTTCCCTTGCTATTAGAACCCTGGTGGTTTATTCTGATTGTTTCTTCCCTGTCCTTGTCACTGGTTATTAGACCATGAAAAATTTGGATGGTTCCTTCACCCCAGATTATATGTGTTGGAGTATGGATTATATTGCTGTCTCTATAAGTTCTATGCATATATCACTTCTTCAGACTTATTAACATGTGTAGATGCCAAAGGACAATGCTTAATAATATGATTCGCTCCATAACCTTCGCAAACTGGTGGCGATTGGTATACCACGTTAACTGATTGAGATATTTTGTCCATTTCATTGTAAGAACTTCTATTTGCATAGATAGTACTGTTATTGCATCCACATTTTGTAACCTTGTTTTCTTTATAGCTCTCTATCGGCTGGCCACATCAATTGATTTTCAACTATTTTTTCATACAAGTCATAGCCTCATCGACATCAAATTTCATCACCGATCCTCCTAATGAAGCATCTATCATATTCCTAAACTCTTGTTGTAAACTGTAGTAGAAGAGATATTACTAAGCCTACATAGGAATGTCAAGGTTGGGGCATTTCCTGAACAAATTCTTGAACCTCTCCCATGCCTCAAGATAGCTCTCGAGATCTTTCTGCTTGAAAGTGTGGACTTTATTCCTGATTTGGTGAACTTGAGAAGGTGAAAAGAATTTTATCGTAAATTCTTGAACTATATCATTCCATGATTGTATGCCCCCTGACAGTAGACAAAGAAACCATTCTCTAGCGACATCCTTCAAGGTATGAGAAAATAACCACATTCGAAATAAATTGACAGATATCCCTTCATGACCGATCACTTTACATAACATGAGAAACATCGAAATATGTTCATGAGGATTCTCTATAGCTTTTCCAACAAACCTGATGTCTTGGTGATTTTAAAATAGATTTAAGACGTCCAATCTGAGGTGAAAATTAGGCTGTCCAAATGAAAGATATATGACAACGGGTTGCACTGGTGCTGGAATCGGATTTACAAAATTCTCAACTAAAATAAGGGTTTCATTCTAGATGGCTCTCTGTTGATTTGGCTATGGTGTATGCTCTTAAAACTGAACTTGATTTTGGGGTTGATTCTGCTTATCGGCCACTCTCTTTACTTGACGCTTCACTCTTTTGTGATTTCTAAATGTCTTTTCAATTTTGTGATCTATCGAAACAAGATCAGGCTCGTCAAGATTTTGCATAAACTAAATTTACCTGAAAAGAGTCAAGATACAAAAGAATTAAGTAGTGTAATAGTAGCTTAAAAACAACAAAACTAATAAAAAATAAAAACGAATCCAAAATATCTAATAACCAAAATTAACACCGTCATTTCTCGATAACGGTGTCAAAAACTTGTTCGTCAAAATCTCACAAACGTACGGATTTATTGTACAAGTAATAATCGTGATGAAAGAGTTATAATCCCATGAAGAATAAGGATCAATTCTAGTATATTTGATATATTTAAATTCATGTTTGTAACTGATAAAAGTGTAAAATATAATATTTATCCCTGATTATTTCATGTCAAAATGCACTTATTATACTTATATTTTGATTCAGGTCGCATTTTGGTAGAAAAAATGGAAGATAGAAGAAAAGAGCGAAAAAGCCCAAAGTGGAAGAAAATGAAAGTTTGGGGACTAAAGTGCAAATACTCCAAACTTGTGCCTAACATTATGATGAAGATTCGAAAGTTTCAGAGGTCAAGTGGATGATAAAGGAAGTCAAAGGGATGAAATATTGTCAAAATTTGATCACACATCAATTCCCAATCGGAAAAAGTTACACACCATTTTCAACCTCATATTGGGACCCATTTTTGACGTGCCAAACGATCTAATTGGAAGATGACATTCGAAGAAAAATTGTATTCCTTTGAGTTAGCTTTCCATCGCAACTTGAATCACTTCAATTAAACATCGGGAGGGAAAGTTAAGGCCAAAATACGAAAAGCTGTCTACGAATAAAATAGCAATAACCATGCGGTCGCATGGTTTTCTTCCACGCGGTCGCACAAACACTTGCAGGGAATTTAGAGGAGCATTTTCATTGTTCCATAAGACTGCAAGGAACTATACTATGTTGTCGCATAGTTCACTTCCGTTATGAAAATTCTAGTTTCCTAATTTGAGTCCAAAACTTATGGAAACACATCTTCTACGCGATTTTATGACCCTAGGTCATCCCAGAACGCCCCCCATTCATCTCCTATCAATTCTCTCAAGTTTGGCTCAAGAAATCCATAGAAAAATAAATTTCTTGGCTACTTCACATCAATTATTCAGGTAAAATGGTACTTTTATTATCAAACACTTCTAGATCTAGATTTTCTTTCATGAAATTGCTTGGAATTGAATTCACTTTTACTATATTCTTCATAGACTCAATCATGTTTTCGCTATTGTAGAAATAAACTAATTGTTGAATTTCAAATTCATTAAATTTTATTGGTGGATTATTTACTGCCTTATGCATTGTGTACATGATTGTTTCTTAATCTTAATCCAATAAACATGTGTGGGAATGGTTTGCAAAAGTCTAGATCTTAGGATTACAATTGAAAATTAATTGATCTTCATTGTTAAATATTTTGATTAGAAGGTTGTCACGAAAACCTCTGATTGAGTAAAAAGCCATAAATTATTGATATTGATGGTCCAATCTAATTGAGGGAATTCGGATGCTTCACTAATTTCACATATTGATAATAAAATTTCATTCCAATTGACAATCTACATTTATATAAAATCACGAAAACCCTAGTTTGTTTGATCCTTGGTGAAATTTTCCATCTCCCTGAGGAATTGATACCCCAAATCTATAATACAATCATCGCATTATACTTTGGATGTAATCATATTTTGGCGTCGTTGTCGGGGAGACGGTATAAATAATTGAAGGATTATCAAGTAAAAAGGTGGTTTCATTCCTCTTTTACATTTTTGTAGTTAGCTTAGTTTATTTTCTTAGATATTTTGTTATTTCTCATTTAGTTTCATTTTTTGTGTTTTATGAACATGCATCGAGGCTAGCAAGGGCGATTCATTGCGAGACCTCAATCAGTGTTTGAATCACTTTCTAATCTTCTTTTTGATACTGCATCTGTTGTCACAAATATCACACTACACAGCATAATGTCTGATAGTAAGATGGCGATACACCCTATAGGACCTTGCATGATTACCTTCACCCCACATGCACATCTACACTGTCATGCATCATGTTTCCACCTAACATGCCACGTATGGACCTAAAATCGAGAATGATTCAACTTCTTCCCAATTTTCATGGTCTTGAAAGCAAAAATCCATACGTGCATGTTAGGAAGTTTGAGGAGGTGGTGGTAACATTCCACAGTCAACATGGTACATTGGATGCAATCAGGCTAAAAAAAAATTTCCATTTTTACTCAAAGAACGAGCAAAAAACTAGCTGTATTCACTGCGACCACGTTTGATTGGGAGTTGGGCCGAAATAACCCAAGCATTCTTTGGCAAATACTTTCCCCATCATAAAACAACTGTTTTACCAAAAAAAAAAAAAAAACAATTTTCTTTTTTTGTCCAAAATGACAACGAAACTTTATATCAAGCATGTAAAAGATACAAAGAATTGCAAGCACCACCACGGTTATAAAAGTTGGTATGTTGTGAGTTACTTTTATGAGAGATTATTACCAAGGGAGCTCCAGTTTGTGGAAGTGATGTGTAATGGTGAATTCCCATAAAAAGATCCAGATGAGGCTATTGAATACTTAGATGACCTAGCAGAAAAACCCATACCTGGACTGGACATAATGCCACTGAGAACACTAATTGATCATGACCCAGTGGAAATTCGAATAGCATAGGTATTTATCATCTTAGGAAAAAGACAACCTTAGAGCAAATGTAGAAGTCCTCACTAGAGAACTTGAAGCCCTACATCCTAAAGATTCGAAATCCACACAATTTGTTTCCTGTGTCTAGTTTTTAGGACCTTGTTTTGTGTGTGGTGGAATAAATCATCCAAAACAAGAGTGTGCTACCTATCCTAAGATGAGAGGAGTCTATGAGGAGTACTGCAATGCCTCAGGTAGGTACCAAAAGCCTTATGCTCCTTTCTCTGAAACTTAAAATCCGAGGTGGCAGAATCACCCTAATTTCAACTGAAAACCTGAAAACCAGTCAAACAGAGCTCACACTGTACCTCTATATCAATCCACATCCTCTGGGAACTCTTTAGAAGACATCCTACACGCAACCATAGAGGCACAAAATAAAACCAATTAGAAGTTTGAGACTATGATTACCCAGATTGTTAAAGAAAACAAGGAAATAAAATCTAATATATCCAAACTAACTAATGTCTTAGTTGTAGGGGAGTGGGGAAAATTTTCAGTGCAAGCCCAACCAAATCCTAGGGGACAGCATATGGCACAAACCTTGGGCTCAAGAGAAAACAACCTTAAGGAAGTTAATGTCATAACCACTCGGTCCAGTAAGGTTATTGAACCAACCCCCAAACCTAGGGATGATAAAAAGAACCCTAGTAATTCAGAAGAGAGTACCCCTAGTGAGGAGGTAGTGAAAAATCCATCTAGAGTGCATTTCCCTCAAGCTCTCAAGTCTATCTCAAAATCTGTATGCCTAAAACAAGTAAAAATCAATCTACCTCTCCTACTTGTGATCTCCTAAGTTCCTACATATGCTAAAGTTCTAAAAGACTTGTGCACTGTGAAAAGGAAACACCATGTCAAGAAAATTACTTTCTTGATTGAACATGTGAGTGCTATGATTGAGCAAAAGATCTTACCAAAGTATAAGGATCCTGGTTGTCCTAATGTCTCTTGCATCATCAGGAACCATGTGATTTCACAAACCCTTCTTGATATAGGGGCTAGTGTCCGCATCATGCCGTATGATATTTACTTGTCATTAGGGTTAGGAGAGATGAAACACACTTCAGTAAGTTTACAATTGGCTGATCAGTCCACTATTAGGCCTAAGGGAGTAGTTGAGGATTTGTTGGTACAAGTTGACAAATTTCATTACCCTATTGACTTCTCGATTTTGGACATAAAAGTCGATGTGAATGTTAACTCCAAAATTCTCATAATTCTTGGTAGATCTTTTCTTGCCACAGCTAATGCTCTTATCAATTGCATGAACGGTCTAATGAAACTATCATTTGGGAACATAACCCTAGACATCAACATCTTTCACATCATGAAGCAACCTGAGGAAGATGACGAGTATCATCAGACATTCATGATTGATGTACTCGTTCAGGAAGAAGTACCTACGATTATTGACCCGGACCCTTTAAATTCTTTCCTTTCGAATTTTGAAATTTCGATAAGATATGATGCCGATGAATATGCTGATATCTGTGCTGCTTTTGATGATTTGCAGGATTATGGAACATCACTAGTGCTTATCTCCAATGAGCTTGGTGCAATGCAAGGAAGATTGATAGTGCCCTGGCTAGATGCGGACTAAAGAAAGCAATATTGAATCGAGCCAACGACAATAAACAAAGGTGCTGCTTGGGAGGCAACCCAAGGGGAGGTCCTTCCCTTTTCTTTCTTTTCTTATTTTTGTATTTTTTTTTTAGGTTTATTTTCACCATATGCATTATTCACTGTATTTCGGTTTATTTTCATTTCTTGCATCACCCATTTCATAGAGAACTTTCAGGTCCACCATATTCTAGCTTCTGTTGATTCACTACAATATCCAGGTGACATCTTTCCCTTCTTTTAGTATACATGCTTTCACATATATTTGAAACTTTCTTGTGAATTACATGATTTTAATGGAATGTTGGTTTGTTTTGCTGAATTGGTCTAAAAAATTTTCTTAAGTCTCTAATTGCTACATGCTTATGTTCTTGAATTACAAAATATGCCACTAGGAATTAATATTATTTATGAGAGTCTAGATGTTGAGACACTTGCTAAATTCGTTTTGTGCACACAAGCCTTGTAGTACGATGGCAATTTGACACATGTAGCTCGAGGAGTCTCTTGCTAGAGTTTTTATATGGGAATTGGTGAGGATTAAAAACCACAATATACAAAAAAAATGATAATAACCATTCATTGATTTCGTGAATTGGAAACTTCTTTTAAGAATAACATTACACGGTCAATGGTAAGATAGTGGATCATATTTAGGAAATGATGACAGTCAATTTAGGATTGAATTTGAACCTTTAGACCAGTTCTTCTTCATGATTACATCCCCCTAGTAACCCCTTTGAGCCAATACACATATATAGCCTTTTTCTTCATGCAACCATGTTATCCATACTTGTCTATACTGGAATGTAGCATGTACACGTGTTTTCTCGCCTTTTTACTTCCAAGTGTATAGTAGGTATCAAATATTCATTTGAGAAGGAAAGTAAAGAGGAAATGGATAGAGTTAATAAGTGCTCAGGTGAAGCGACAAAACATAAAAGAGGAAAAACAGAAGAAGAGGAAAATTTAAAAAAATGATGAAAAAAAAGAAAAGAAAAAAGAGAAAAATGAAGAAAAGAAAAAGAGGATTGACGTTGGGGATTGAAATGTTGAGGAATGTATTGATGTAAATTATGTGATCTATTGAAATGCTTGATGAAATGCCTAGTTATGTACTTGAAAGTCCTTGAATTCCTTCTATCCTTCTTTATATATCTCCTAACCTAATTCTCATTACAACAGTTTGCATTGGCTATTATGATCCTAAGTAGGGTTGTTGAATGAAGTTGATGAATTCTCATTTGATAGCATGCCTATCATGTGATCAATGTTTGCTTGTTGTTCACTCACAAATATTTAAGCCTTCAAATTTTGAATGTATCCCTTTCTCAGCTCCATAGAGAGAAAATCACACTAAACACTTTGATACCGATGAGTTATAAGGCTGAACCTTTGGCTTGAGGCATACTTGATGTTGCATGTGTTAAGGTTGGCTGCAAGATTACTATGGCTTGACACACACTCACACATTTGGCAAGTGTTTTTGATATCTTGATGATCATGGCATTGTTAAGTCTTTGTCGTGTTGAGTTTAAAAAGAACATGAATTGTGGTTAAGTTTGAACTTAATAATTTCACTTGTATTACAGTCTAATCATTTGTTTGCTTGTTCTGCATTGAATTGTTAGGGACTAACAATAAGTAAGTTAAGGGGTGTGATAAGAGTGTAAAATATAATATTTCCCCCTCTTAATTATTACATTCATGTGATTATTTGATACCGAAATACACTCATTATACTGATGTTTTGATTCAGGTTGCATTTTGGTAGAAAAATGGAAGATAGAAGAAAATAGCGAAAAAGGACCAAAGTAGAAGAAAATGAAAGTTCGGGGACTAAAGTGCAAATACTCCAAACTTGTGTCTAACCTTATGATGAAAATTCAAAAGTTTTAGAGGTCAAGTGGATTAGAAAGGAAGTTAAAGGGATAAAATATCATCAAAGTCTGATCACATATCAATTCTCAATCGAAAGAAGTCACGTACGATTTTTAGCCTCATATTAGGACCCATTTTTGACATGATAAACGATCGAATTGGAAGATAATTTCTGAATAAAAGTTGTAGCTCTTTGAGTTAGCTTTCTAACATAACTTGAATTGCTTCAATCGAACATCAGGAGGGAAAGTTATGAACAAAATACTAAAAACTATCCGACCAAAAAAATAGCAATAACCATGCGGTCGCAAAAAAACCTGCAGGGAATTCAGAGGTGCATTTTCATTGTTCCATGTGATTGCAAGGAACTGTACCATTCGGTCGCATGGTTCATTTCTAAGGTGAAAATTCTAGTTTCCTAAATGGGGTTCAAAACTTATAGAAATCAATGTCATATCAGAACACTCCCTATTATTCTCCTATCAATTTTCTCTCAAGTCTAGTTCAAGAAATCCATAGAAAACTAAATTCCTAGGTGAAGTTATGGAGGAACTCATTGAATCTGACTACTTCACATCAATTATTCATGTAAATTGGTACTTTATTATCAAAAACTTCTAGATCTAGACTTTCTTTCATAAAATTGCTTGGAATTGATTTAACTTTTACCATATTTATCAATGACTCAATCACATTTTCTATATCGTAGAATTAAACTAATTGTTGAATTTCAATTTCATTAAATTTTATTGGTGAATTATTTACTGCCTTATGCATCGTGTATATGGTCATTTCTTAATCTTAGTCCAATAAACGTGTGTGAGAATGGTTTGCAAAAGTCTAGATCTTAGGATTACAATTGAAAATTAATTGACCTTCATTGTTAAATATTTCGAGTAGAAGGCTTTGATGAAAACTCTAATTGAGTAAAAAGCCATGAATTGTGATATCTATGGTCCAATCCAATTGAGGAAATTCAGATGCTTCACTAGTTTCGCATGTTGATAATTAAATTTCATTCCAATTGACAATCTACATTTATATAAAATCACGAAAACCCTAGTTTGTTTGATCCTTGGTGAAATTCTCCATTTCCCTGTGGAATAGACACCCCAAATTTATACTACAATCACCACATTATATTTTGGGCGTAATTAGTGACCAAAAGACGATTGATGAATAGCTAACTAAATTTTGTAACTAAAACCTGTGAAATCAATGAAAGTTGGTTTAAAGATCAAATTAGTGAACATATTAGATTTCCGACACCCCTGATCAATTCCGAGTTCTAATTCTCAACCAGTAATAATTATCTCAATTTATGCAATTGTGAGGATCGACAATTCCAATATTATTTATCATTCTTTCCCAAGATATAATAAACATATGATTACCACGAGATGATCATATTCCTAGTCTGAATTTATATGACAAATATACGTTGGCATTTGAGATTATCACACATGATCGCACACGCCATAAATATTAGTCCTGACATTGGTTGTCCGTGTGTTCCAATAATAATGTTCTACCTATCGTGAGTTTTTCAATAATACGAATAAGCAACTTACTATCCTAATAGTTCGCAAACATTAAAATAATATAATTATGCATATTAATAGACCCACAAACAAGTATTAAGATATAAACACAAAGTATCGAATTAAAAACTAAGAATCAAACAGTTTTGTCATTCTTCCAATACAAGAAAAGAATTAGCTTTGTATCAAGTTGAAATTAAACAAATAAAAGTGGAAAGACATCACCAAAAATCGACAGGAAGTGACTAATTCCAAAATAATTCCTAGATTCTACTCGTGTATTTCTCAATTCAGCAGCCTTTTCGTAGGTGAATATATCCTCCAAGTTTTCTGCTTCAATTTCAGCCAACAACCCGTGTGTTTTCCTCTTTGGCTGCGTGAATGTATATATAAATCACCTCATAGCAGCTACCTTAATTTCTATGTAAAAGAATTCAAATTAGCTGGCAATTTGTCTACTTCTCTCTATACCACAGCCGCCAACACGGTATACATGAATCCTAAATTTCCAGCCACAATTGCTATCTATCAATTCCCCCTACTAGCTGCCATTTTTAATGTAAGTATATATTATAAATCCCCAAGTAACCCTCAAATTTTTTACTCCAGTACAAGGCCCAATTTTTTTCTCTTTTCTCCCTTAGCAGCCGCTTTTGTTGACTCCAAAAAAGGGACTAATTTTACCTTGAGGAAATTAGACCCAATGCTCTAAAAAGTTGCTCAATTAGATTAATACCCTAAATTAATTAAACATAATGTAAACCCTGTAATAATTATGACAACCTATGTACCACAGCCAAGTACCCTTTCTACTGATTTGCATTCTTTAAATTTACCAAATCAATATAATGCACTTATAGATACAGCGTGAGAATGGGCAGAGAGATGGCTAGTTCAACACCTAATCAGAAGCAGTAGCCATCGATGATGTCATACACAGTGGAGCAACTCGTAATCGTCAACCCTTACAACCCGAACATCCTTCTAGATCTCGAAAACTATGTGAATGAACAAGTCTCTCCTCAAACATATAGTTTGAGTGCAAATCAATGCCTTCTTATCTACCAATTAGAGCCAGAGAGAATGAGCACTCAAATTGTTGCTTGTATTTTGATCAAGGCTTCTTCTACCAACCATGAGAGACATTTTCATGGCGGATTCACACTGCAGATGGCCTTATAAGTAACTTTTGCAGGTTCATTAAAATGTGCACACCAAGTGTTTGATGTATTGATCTAATTCCATATGTCAATATGGTTTGAAAGATTCTTCCAAAGTGATTTCTCAAGAATGTGTTGAATATGATATACGGCAAAAAAAAAAAAAAAAAAAAAAAAAAGACGTTACTCCTTTGCTATCTCGCTAGTCTCTGTTCGTTTTCTTGATTTTAGGCCAGTTTGTGCCAATTTATTGGAGATGGGGAGAGTAGGAAGATTGAAAACGAGAATAAGAAATTAGTCGTCGTGTACTTCTTTATTTTTATTTCTTTTGAGGCAAGATTTGCTCGAGGATTCGTTTGAGAGTTTGGGTATTTCATTTCTTCAGCAATTTGAGCTTT